TTATTTATTTTTCATAAGTGTGAATATCGTTTAAGCTGTGTTACCACTGTTAATCTTGTATTTCCCCTCACCATACTACATCAACAGAACATTGGATTCAATACTCTCTGATAAAATGCTGAAATTTCTAAACTGAATCGGCAATACTGTTCTAAATGAACTCACTGTTATTATTATATTTAATGAACTCATTTCGTGCTTCGAATATTTTTCACGTTATATCGTAAACGTGGTTACTTTTGTTTTAATTTTTAATTTTATTTATATTTTAAGTAAATCAGATGCAATATTGTGACAAATGCTGAGAATTCCGTTGTGTATTATAAGTACTGTTTTTGGAATAAAGTTAAAAAAAAAAATTCCTGTTCTACAAAATATACTAATGAACTTTTAAAATTGTCATTCAACAAAATATCGTCGTGTATTTCACAGAAAAGAAAAAGGACAGTTATCATAATGATGGATCGGTTTTCACTTTAGGTCATCTAGAACTGTGTAACACAATCTTTGCTGTCAGTTAATCTTCTATTTGAAGATCCTCTACTCCTCTGAAGAAATATTCTATACATTAGATAAATATTGTTTCAGAATTAAGCTATTACTATTATCATTATTATTCTCATCAAGATTCTATTACAAATCAAAAGTTTATTCCAACTTCAATGATCAAGCTATTGAATGAGTATCAATTCTATAAAGTTCATTAATTTCCGCCCTAATTTTCTTTTTCAAAAACAACCTTTCTCCTATATAAGAATACTTACTACGGTGTATAGCATAATTGTGTCAGTTATCAATATAATTAGATGAGTATCGGCCCATTAAAACAAGCTGAATATCAGTGTTTGACTTAATATTTTCCCTTACAGCTGAGTTAATTAGTCCAATGTTTTTTTTACTTTTCCTTTTTAGATGAAGAGGACTAGAATTGGAGAAGAATTTTCACCTTAAATGACCTACAAATAAGATCATATATGTTGAGATCTTCCGATTTATTTTTTGATAAGTGTTTCTAGCTGATGAGTTCATTGAAAAATTTGATAAAAACAAAAAAAAAGAATGAAATAAAAATTCAAAAAAAACATGCATGAACTGAAATTTATAGAAATTCATAAAACACCCGAATTAGGAAAGCAGCAGAAACATACATAATGTGAAAACCAGTGTAGAGATTTACAGAAATGGACACAACAGAGAACAAGACACCAATTCTCAACATTAATGTATATATGTCCAACCTTGAAAGAAAAAAATTGAAGCATGAAAATGCCAAATCAACTTCTTATTGACAATATGTTGATGACACAGTAGACATTGCTGCGCAACGCCTGGAAGGTAGCAGTCTCCAGAGGTCAATTTACAGAAAGTCGACATAGAATGTGTAAGACTTGCATTTCAACAGTTTCTGCCCAAATAGCTATTAATGAACATTATCCAAGACTCTGTTCCACAGAGTCAGTCAAGAGGCTATGCTCTACAAAGAAATTACTAGAAGAAATTCCGAGTCCCGAAACGATGTCGAAAAACAACGTTTATTCTCAAAAGTTCATTGACATATACGGAAGATTTGAAGGTTCAAATGTCAAGCAAATCACAGTGAAGTAAAAGACCATCTACATTCAGCTTGATTATTATAAAAGTGAAAATATTGCAGCAATTGTCATCTGAAGATTTAAAATGTCATAAGTCAGAGTGCATCCTGCAGGTAAGCTGGTTCCCATCTATCGAACAACTTACTTTTTGGAGCAATCCAAAATTCTATAGATATCCTTCACATGTTAATTTCAAAAATGTAAATAAATGTACATGTATCTGTGGAAGCAGTTACATTGAGAGAACAGAGAGAAGGGCATACTTCATATTTTCCGAACATGTACCAAAAACTATACGTTTCAAGAGAATAAAGCTTTCAACAGTGACACCACCACACATCTCGTTGACGCTGGTCACGAGGCTGACGTCTCAAGATCGTTCAAAATTATCAGTAGGCAAAAGAGTTCAATTCGCCTTCAGATTTAAGGAAGCGATCTCCATCAAATGCATGAAACCTGATGTGTGTGTTCAGAAAGAAGTTGTTATCAGTGTTTCTTGGTCCTATTAGCTGGATGTTTTCATTGTCTCTTTTATTTAATTGTGTAAGGCCGAAAATTCCATTCTTTATGATTATTATTGTTCAGGACAAAGTGTTTATTATAAATATATGATTGTATGCCTATGTTAATTAAATAATATTTCGTTTAAAATGAACTCTGTGAAAGTATGTTTAGATTGTTTCTGTTGATATACTTAATTATGAATTTGGCTTATAAACAGCTGATGAGAAGCCAACGAATTAAGCACAAACCACTGTTGTTCTTACATTTTCAAATTCACTAAGGGAGATAAATGTATGAAATATCAAGTTAGTCAGTACTTTTTTATGGTACAAGTGTACTAGCGTGCAGGTCAGCAAAGTACTCTCAACAGCCTATTGAAGACTTTCATCAATATTTGTCCATTTTACTGCCTTTTTAATGAAGATAAGATGTCCAGTTGGAAAAGAAAACGACAGTGAACTATGTCAAGCGTCGAACCATTAGGTGACAACCTAATAGCTAATAAATCTACATAATAAAATAGTTATAGAATGAATGTACGTTGTTAAGAAATTCATGTGAAATTTCATGCTATTCAGGAAGTCCAGTTGAACCAGAATGGGTGTGAGTCCTAGCGAGGCATGTAGGAGATCAAGTGAAGAGGAAATGAAAGCTTGTTGATGGAACAGAGACTGTATGTTCCACTAGTAACACAACGAATAGATGATGTTAACAGTACTGAACTATTCTTGTATATTAAGTCTTCTTATAACCATTGAACTTTGACTATTTTAAAGGCGTAAAAATGAGACTTCGTGACCAACATTTCATTTTATTGAAGTTACTACTAGATGATAAGAATGCTGACAGTTACTTTCCACAAGCTGTAATTAATTTTGAGAAAATTAGTACTTCTGGTTGGATGTGAGGACAAATACTCACCGACCACATTCCCTAGTGGTCGCGCCATATCATGAATTGGCAGAAGTTGGATAGAGTCCTAATGGCTTAATGGTCCACGAGCTAGCTCACCTTGTAACAAGAAGGTCCTGTGATTGAATTTCACTGGGTGCGTACACCTGAAGAGTCCCAAACAAGGACGGAACAGCAGCGTAGTACTACCACTAACCGCTCTCAGTTCATGACAAAATCCTGAAAACAACCAAATCCCTGAGAACCAACATTTGAAGGTCAATACTCATCTTTCTCCTTTCAGATTAGTCAGCAAACTTAAAGGTAAAGTAATCTGATTTCTTACAAACAACAGTAATTAATTATTTCTTCAGGATGTACTACCTGATTTTATAGGGAGAACTGGAGAGTGAGATGGTTGTCTGAGTAAGATAACTCAAAGTGTAATTACCTACTGGATAGCAATTAGGCTATACTGCACAATAAAATTATTTAGACCCTTACTCTATAAGCCAGTGATGGCATGATAATGTATTCTGCTCCATATTAGATGAAGGGCTACATTCTCCGTTTTGTCATGCGTAAATATTACAGACCTAGAATAAAACAGCTGTTTATTGGTGATTAACCCCATAGATAATGTTACTCATTAACGATGGTTGGTGAATTACGTGGTAAATGGCCAATCTACATTTATAGCAAGATAACTTGATGTAACTAACACACACTGTGATACATCATTATATATCTCCTGATGACATATTTATTACTTATTGTGATATGCCAAAATATGACTATAACAAATGGTCAAGCTTTCATTAAAGTATTTTACTGAAAATTTATTTCGGTTATTCAATAATGGAAAACAAGAACACAGATTAGCTGTAAAAAGGCATGATATATATTCTTTTGTATCAATGCATGTGGACAATTATGGATAGTAATTTGATTGGGATAATGTGAAAATTTTAAATACAGGAAACACCTTAAGCAATACCAGGGAATTCCCAGAAGTCTGGTATTTAATTGAGTCAGGAATTAACAAAAACATTATAACAGACAAAATTTATCAGCTAGTAAAAAGTAAATCATATCACAAGAAAGCTCAAAATCAAAGTCAGTAAAAATGAATAATAGAGATGTAAACTAATAACTAGTTAGGACATGAGATGCCAAGACATCTAATTACATCATTCATGGAGAAGGTCCTGGCTTTGAATCCTAGTGGGTGAGTACTGTCAATGATTCCCAAAACTAGGCTGATGACAAGAGCTGTCCTGTACTCCCTGGTTGGTTTTCAATGGTTCTCTAACTGATATCAATCCGTGATCAACTCGTAAAAACATAACTAACCCTTACAAACCAAACTATAGAAAGTTAATCTGATGCTCGCTAGTGACTTGCTACAGGTTGGAGTTTCCTGAGTTCTAGTGTGAAGTCGTGGCCAGTGAGGTCCAATTAGATGTCACGTGTGTGGATGGATATCCTACCAACGACAATGGTTGGGGTCTTGCTAAATCACGAATTGGTAAAAGTTAGAATTCATGAGCCATTGAATCGGGTCCCAGTGGATGAATGATATACGAGCTTTCCTTGTAACCGGAAGGTCCCGGGTTCGAATCTCAGTGGGTGCGTACTGGCGATGATTCCCAAAACTAGAATGAAACAGCAGCTGTCCAGTACTCCCTTACTAACCAAACTATAGATAATTCGAATAAGTTCAGTTTATACTAAGAGCTGCGCTGAAGCAAGTTGCTGTCTAGAAGGGGGATGACCAAAGATTCGCAATTAAATCAACCATTTCAGTGAACATAACTAATTCAATATCATACACCTGACCTACAAATCTTCTTCTTTATTTCAAAATGTGAAGCTCGAAGCTACCGACTCTTTTAAAACAACAGTATTGCAGCTACTCAAACTTCAGAGTTCAAGCTTGAAAACCTACCTGTATTTGCACTCGAAATGCATAAAAACGAAGAAAAAGCCCACACAGACACAAGTATTACTTACATTTCTAGCGTCTTTTGGAATGATACATTCAACCAGTTTACTCATGAACATTTCAAGTTCTACGCCATCAATAAATCCATTACCTGAAATGTTAAAAAAATAATAATATAATTATGTCAAATATATATTTTGTTGGATTTTATGAATTGAATATTTGACATGTAAAACCTTTCTTTTCCAAACTGATGCAAAAGTTAATTCTATGTAGATAATTTGAAATAACTCTATTAGGTAATCAAAGGGAAGATAAGTTGTGTGTGTGTGAATTTGAATTTGTTATTGAGAAAAAAGCAATGATTCATTCATTCACGTCAGTTATCCGCCTTTGAAAATCTTCAATGAGAAACGCTGTCCTATACACACATGTAGGATATATTCTGCCTAGCTCTCTCTCCCACACTCTTTGTATATCTCTAAAGTCTATCATTATGAATATAATGAATTATACGAATTGATCGCCAGATAGAAGATAATTTAATTATTTAGTCCTAAATTGTATTGACTGAGATCTCTATCTCTCTCCCGCTTTTGTTCATTTTATTCTATGTAACAAATGTAGGATAATGCTTTTTGTTTCCTGTACCAGATATTAGAATTTAGGAATTATAGAATTATATAGGAAACTAATATACATATATATGAGTGGCGATATGGAATTACAAAAGCCTAATTGCAGAGAGCAGGTAGCGAGGAAACATGCATAAAATGGATCCACACAAAAACTTGGAGGACCTGCATTTCCCCGATGATGTATGTCTGTCTTCTCACAGACTAGAAGATATGCAAGTGAAAAGCAACAAGTTGGCAAAAAAACATCAAACATCGGAATTCAGGTGAACATGGAGAAAGTGGAGACGGTGGTGATGAAGATTCCTGGCCAACAGCAGCACAAAGAACAACAGACAACAATCGGCAGAAATGAGAGAAACCTGAAAGAGGAAACCTTCTTCACCTACCTACCTACCTACCGGGGAAGCACAGTTTCAACTACAGGCGGACGGAACTAATAAGAATATCAAAAATATCAAGGATGGGGAAAGCAAGGGAAGCTTTCATTACTCTGAAGTCTGTGTGGAGACCAACCACACCATGAAAATGAAATTAAGATCCGGATTTTCAACTTTAATGTGAAGTCATTGCTACTATACGTATCAGAGACTTGGCAGGTCCCGAGGGTCACTTCGAACGAACTACACACCTCCATCAACGGCGTCGATGGCACAACGGTTAGGACGCTCGCCAACCATGCGCATGGTCGGGGGTTTAATCCGAGGCCGATGCACACCTGAAATCAATTGGTCGGCCAATTAGCTTTGAGCTACCGATATCACATGCTGAAAATTCCATACTTGTAGCAAACATTCGGTGTGGAATCAAGCTGTAATCAGAAATCAAAAATACTACTCAAAGTCAGATTGTCGGGCAGAAAACATCATCAACAGGGATCTTTCGGAGCAAACCAACTAGGAACCAGTTATGCAACAAATAGGCAGGAAGAGATTTAAGTGGATTGGCCATACTCTGAGAAAACCATCAAGTGAGTGACATTACACACCAGGCCATTGCTCGATTTGGTCGTCAGTGCGACGGTGACAATTAGGAGGTCATGCGAAGTTGAGATGAAAGCATGTGGGTAGACGTGAAGCCAGGTGAAAACGTTAGCAGATAGTCGAACTCAATGGAGACGTGCGGCTGAAGCTGTATGTTTCTCTAGGAACTGAAGGAAACAATAATATATAACAATACAAAATGTCTATTATCTTGGAAAGCATTAGTTTCCCCAAAGTTATGAGTATCCAGTGCTTATGAAAGTCAACAAAGAAGAGTATTTACATCCAGTTCGTTTTGGCAAATACCAAAATGGTTAAAGGTCGCGCTAAAATCACGAATTGGTAAAGCTTAGAATTCATGGGATGGCTGGCAATCGAATCGTATCCCAGTGGCTGAATAGTATACGATCTAGCCTTGCGACCGAAAAGTCCTGGATTTGAACCTTTGCAGTGAGTGAGTACTGCCAATGAATCCCAAAACTAGGCTGATGACAAGAGCTGTCCAGTACTCCCTGGTTGGTTTTCAATGGTTCTCTAACTGATATCAATCCGTCGTCAAACTCGAAAAACAAATCTAATCCTTGCGAAAATCAACTTTTGAAAATACTGAGATGGAAAAAATCTTAAATTTATAGGAAACATATTGATATTTATTCATTTATTGACATTCTGTTATGTGCGTAGTATCAATCCTTGAGGACAGCTTTCACATTTGCACGACGATATACACACCACTGTTATATATGTTATATAAAAAAGAATGATGAGATTTAGTAAAAGTAATAGACTGCACCTGAGACCTCATGGTAGTTATCATTTTTCTTAATAATGCTGTGATAATCATGATTGTTTTTTACTTCTTATGCTTCGAGTAGAATATAAACCTTCACTCATACATATCCATTCCACTCAATCCTCTACTATCCGTTTCAACCAGCTCAACGACTCTCCGAAAGCTTTCATCTCCTGTTCACATAATCTCCTACATGTCACATTTGTATCCACGTCTACTCTTTTGCTTACCATCCATTTTTTCACGCTCGACCGTCTGACTGGAAGGTAGCGTTGCTCACCGGTCTCTTCCGTGCATGTTTACTTCATCCTTATTTTTTTCTGCATATTGTTTATACAGCACACTGTCGCGTGATTACTTGTACTATTTGGTGGAGTTCACTGTTGGTGTTGTTTTCCAACCAGACAAATGCTTATCATTGATGCAGAAAAGTAGAAAAAGTTTTGATGTAAGCATTCAATACTATGTTTGAAACGCTTTTGCTGACATGCACTCTAAGCCTTTAAAGCATTGTGTGATCTCACATTAACGTTTATAATTTTGGCGTTATTCCTTATGGTGAATAAGGTATATCTTCACCATCACTTGTTCTGTCAGTTCTGTTTATATTTATCAAACAAAATAGGACGGCTCTCTAATATTATTTGGTTTTGAAAAGTTTCACAACATAATGTTCTCTTATTCTGATATTTCTAAAGATAGGTTTATTCAAAAGAAGTTTATAACGAATAACTACTTAAGGGACATGTTAACATGAGTGCAAAGAAAAGTATGTATATTACCCTATGTCTTAAAATATAATTAATATAGTTAGCTCCATGTTGTCAGTTTTAAGAGATCTGATTGACTGATAACGAACTGACTTCTGTGAGAGAGCCATTGAAAACCACGATGAAGTCAACAGCTGTCTCCATCCTACCTCAGGATTCATCAGCATAACTCACCCATGAATCCACCTAACAGGGGTTGAACCTAAGATATTCACGTTATAATTTGCTCTCTCTCTCTCATTCACTATAATAGAGCGCGATGGTCTATGATTTTTAATTCTTTTCAGTTCGCGATGTTAAGTCTCACCGATAGCCCATGTAACTGTTGAGTATCTGTCTTTATACCCGACCTGGTGGACCGCACTAGTCACAACTTCTCACTAGAACTCGAAACAGCTTTGTCCTGTAGTTGGTCACCAGTAAGTATCAGGTTACTCTTCAAGTGCAAGTTTAATCGTTCGTATAATTCTATATTAGTACACAGTGTAACTAAATTCAATTAGAGGCAGATAATAATAACTTACCCTCATAAGTTCTGGCATTTTTATTCTTATTCTTTTAGGTTCCCAATGTTAAATAGGGCTTCAAGCTACAGCTTATAAGTTTTGCTAGCAGAGGTATTTATTTTTACGAGATGATGTTGCTAGCCTTATACCCAACCATCTCTCTACTCACCATTCTTATTACTGGCTTAGCGAAGTAAAGGAGTGCGTCGGTGGAGGATCGAAGCCCGAACCACGTGTGGCATGGTTGACGAGCATTCTACAGCTGTGCCACCTACGCACCATAAGTCTTAGTCCACTAATCAAATGAGATGGTCACTTAATCATCACTTTTGTAACATTATCTAAGCCATCACCAATAACCTCAATGTTCAATATTCTGTAAATTGCGAGAATTTATAATATACACTAATAGTACCGAATTACTGTTTGAAAAATATAATCAAACTACTAAAAAGTACATCGGTGTGAATTCTTGTGTACATGCTTAACAGAAATAAATGACTCTGTGATTAATTCTTCTCTAGAAATGTTTCCTTAAAAGCTTAGCTTATTCTAATAATTTTGTGTTGCCTCTGTTATCCTATCTGAGATGGCTATCTCATGATTTTTACAAGGAAATTGTTTCTGCTACACTTTATAATAATATAATAATAATCCCTCATATAATAATTTATTAACTTTGATCACTAACTAATATTTTTGTATGAATAATTCATTTAATTAATTATACATATTAAATAATGATAACAATATGTAATTATCTAGCTCAAAGGTTTTTTTTTATATCGTAACTATTAGCAACTGATTAAATAAACAGTAATAATAATGGTGTTAGTAAAAAGGCTAAAAGATATTAATTTCACGTCAATGCTTAAAGGTTTTTGCTACAGGATAGTAAGGCTTTGGTGTTTTAAACAACAGGTACTGGGTTTGAACTCATAATGGGAACATCGTCATTGATTGGAGAATACAGATTCCCAGATTCCACTGCTTGTCACCATCTACCAAACTTGCCACAAAAGTTTGCTTGATGATCCTTGATAATTTCAGTATTTGAAGTAAGTACTGAAACATTTGCGACGCTACGTTAAAGCGTGGAATACAATCCTATCCATATTATATAGAAATAGGATATGGAGTTCGCGAAAATATGATGATGTTTTATCGTAGGATGAATTGCGCATAGAAGGATATAATAGTCACTCTTGTCTTTACTATGCTGTACTGAGAATATTATCATCTAAAGAGCCGATTTTCACAGGCGAAATATTTTGTTTTAGACACAGGATAGTAACGAAAGAAGTGAATTAATTGTCGCCAGCATAGGTCCCGATGTTAATCAATACATAAGGAAGACTGAACAAGGTTATTACAGTTACATAATGAGAGTTAAGATAAAGATGCACACAGAAACGTGAAAAAAATGTACTACTATATAAGATACAGAAAGAAGTAGAAGATTAA